GTCTAACAAACGAAAATGAGTAAATGTCGTTCTTGATTTTTTTTTTAATGCAAATTAGTACTTAATTAGTTTAATGGCTCAATGGAAAAAATGTGTTGGCTGATTGATCCAAAAATGACTTGACCCAAATAGGTAGCCTCAGCGGAGAAAACAAACATTTGGAGAGTTATCAAAGCAAATAAACTAAAACTTCGATATCCAAAGGCAAGGCATGTTGAATTAGAAAAAAAAAATACTCACGTGGACAAAATACAGTGTTCAGTTCGAAATTCCAACAAATATCACCGGAAGAAGGCTGGGGTGTACAACGGTCGAAACGTCGTGAATGTGACAGTTCAAATAATGTAAATAGTGTAATAGTGTAAATAGTAATTACTTGGAAATTCCTTTCTTTACGTTTAGGATACGAAAATATAATTAGTAGATATGGGGCTTCGAGGACTCTGAATAAGAAATATTCATTTCACATACAGGTTAATCGAAATTTACTTGACTGTGAAAGTTTTCTGTTGCTGAACCCTTCAAATATACGCTAGACTTTCCCCTACAAAGAAGACGATTCCCTATCAGATGGCGCAAATTTATTAAATTTTTACAAAGTAAGGGCCTGTTTTTCGGAAAAAGCAGGGATACCTCCTCAAACACGTGTACGTACAAAAATATAACATTTAATATAAAATGTATCACAGAATTATATTAAAACCTACAGAATGATAAATGCTACAAAATACTATTTTTTATACTAACCTTCACACAAAACAAGGCACAAGTTCATGGTAAGATTTTGACCTCTTGGAGCCATTTGTGTTCGGTAGATATACAAAAATAGAAAGGAGCGTATGACAAGACTGTAATCAACCTACACAGCGAGGTAGGATGCAGACAAGGAGGAAGCTTATACCTAACATAAGGAAGAGGCAGATGGAATTTCTGGGACACTTAATAAGAAAGGAGGACCTGGAGAATCTGATACACACAGGTCGAATAGCGGGGAAAAGAAACAAAGGAAAGCAACGCATGACATAGCTGGCGGGCTTAAACAAGTGGATAGCAGAACGTGGCTGGGGGGAGTCGGCAGAGGCACGAAACTTAGTGAGAGGTACAAAGGATAGGGAGAAGTGGAGAGCCATGATCACCTACGTCCTGAAAGGACACGGCACATAAAAAGAAAAGATACAGCGAGACAATTCTGAGAAAATTAGAAGTCATATCAGGATTGATTATTCGCCGCCAGAGTCTGAACAATATTAGCTATGCTGATGACATTGTTCTGATGACATTGTGCTGATAGCTGTCACATAAAGGAAACTACAAAAGGTCAGTGAAGGAAAGTAAGAAAAAAGGACTAAGTATAAACTGCAAAACAGAATGCATGGTTATCAGCAAAAGGATGAGCCCAAAATGCAAATTATAAATCGGGAATACTAAAATCAAACAAGTAAAGAAATTTAAAATTTAAAATTTAAAATATCTGGAAATTGTTCTAACAGAGGATATTAAGTGCGACACTCAGATCCGAAGAGTTATTTCGATGACAAAAGATGTATTCCAAAAGCTTAGCAAAGTATTAAGAGATTGAGAAGATTTCGTTAAAACAAAGAAGAGAATACTGGATATCTGTCCTCCTGTATGGAAACAAAAAGGAAACTTATACTTAACATCAGGAAGAGGCAGTTGAAATTTTCGGAGACACCTAATGAGGACGAAGGGCTTGGAAAATCTGATACTCACAGGACAGATTGAGAAAAAGATAGACGGGGGAAAGCAGCACGTAATGAACTTGATGAGTTTGAGCAAATGAATGGTAAAGCTGATTTTGGGAGAAATAACAAAAATACAAAACTTATTAAGGGCTACAAAGGTAGAGGATGGGGTTAGGGGACCGAGATCGTCTACATCCTGAAGGGACTCGGCACAGAAAAGAAGAAGAATGCTAATGAAATTACCCCTCCCAATCAGACGGAGCCACCCTCTAACTCATCTGTATTGTATATTTTTTACCCGCGATTTAATTTAATGGCATTTACATAGTTTGAAATATACTTATTTCAATTTTATTGAATAAACTAGAAGAGCTATTTTCTTGTTTGTCAATAAAAAGAAATATCAGGATTTTACTATTTATTGCAAAGCAACTTAGAATACAACCGTAGTAAAAAAAAAAAAAAAAAAACGATATTTTTATAACCAGCATTACAACAATTAGAATAATTTCAGTTTATGAAACTATTTAGAAGTTATAACATCACGAAAATTAAAATCTTGTTTTATAAAAGATTTAAGTGCACAAGGCTGCAGCCTACTCTAGCCTGAAGGATAATACGGTCCTGCTCAAGAGCCTCTGAAGGCAGAAGGTAACTATGCGTTGTATGAGTAAGCAAGGGCAAGTTGTCATGTTCATAGGATTTTGCATGAAAGATAATGGTTAACCCGAGACTTGAAGTGTTCAAGATTGTAATGATAAGGAAAACAAACTGCCGTTTCACAAAGGGGTAGTTCTTGCTAAAAAAAACAAAAAAAAACCAAAACTGTCCGAATAGAATTCACATCTTACTATTGCAAACCAAAGGGAATGGGGATGATTCACCCTAGTATATATGGTGGGTCTCAGTTGTAAATCCCAAAGGTGGTGTGACTAAGGAATAAAGTTCGTCAGAACACATGACATGGAAATAGCGATAGAAAAGCGAGAGGCCCGCGACGTGTCTTCTGTGAGAAAGGGGGTTGTAGAGTGGAAAATAATTCATTAGCCACAATACCGAATAGACGCTTTTGAACTCTATCAAGACCATAATATATGAACTGATGTTTATACATATGAATCATAAATATTCCATTATGAGTCAAAAGCAAGTTAATTCAAAATAAACTATCTTTTCTGACACAAACGCACCGAACTCCTTTACGTACATATGTATATATATACAAAGTCAATGCGTGTAATAGTTTAGGCAGGTGAGTGAATTTTGTACCAAGAGACTGGGAATATGAAATTCTAATTACTGCTGAATCTATTGAATGTTTTAAATATATAAAATAAACTAGAAAGCGGGAAAGAGAAAGTAATAGAGAAAGAATAATAAAGAAAAGAAGAAAAGGAATTTCCCTTTTCGGCCATTTTCTGAGTCGTTTGATTTCTTTCTTTTTCTTTTTGACTTTCAAGTTTTCGTGTTCGGTCTTCTGTGATATATTGTCCGTGATCTCTCTTCTTTCATTTCATTTCATCCTTTGTTAAAACTCTTCTTCAGTTATCTTTTCAATTTTGTAATTCTCTTTCAAGAATGTTGTCTTTCTAATAATCTCTTTTCTTCAAACATTCTTCAATGTTTTTTTTGTTTTTTTTTGCTATCTGCTTTTAATTCTTGTTTAAATTTGTTTTCCTTATAGATAACTTTTTTCCATTTGCCGCTTGAAAATCGCTTCACTTTCGCTTCTTTCTTTCTTTTTCTTTCCTTTCTTTCTTTCTTTCTTTCTTTCTTTCTTTCTTTCTTTCTTTCTTTGCCTTATATATTCTTTCTTTCCATTTTTTGTCTATGCGTTTCTTTTTCTTTCGTTTATATTTCATTCTATATTCTTTCTTTTTCTTTCCTTTCTTTTTTCTTTCTTTTTTCTTTCTTTCTTTCTTTGCCTTATATATTTTTCTTTCCATTTTTTTGTCTATGCGTTTCTTTTTCTTCCCTTTTATTTTTCATTCTATTTTCTTTCTTTTTCTTTCCTTTCTTTCTTTCTTTCTTTCTTTGCCTTATATATTTTTCTTTCCATTTTTTTGTCTATGCGTTTCTTTTTCTTCCCTTTTATATTTCATTCTATTTTCTTTCTTTTTCTTTCCTTTCTTTCTTTCTTTGCCTTATATATTCTTTCTTTCCATTTTTTGTCTATGCGTTTTTTTTTCTTTCGTTTATATCTCATTCTATTTTCTTTCTTTTTCTTTCCTTTCTTTCTTTCTTTCTTTCTTTGCCTTATATATTTTTCTTTCCATTTTTTGTCTATGCGTTTCTTTTTCTTTCGTTTATATTTCATTCTATTTTCTTTCTTTTTCTTTCCTTTCTTTCTTTCTTTCTTTGCCTTATATATTTTTCTTTCCATTTTTTTGTCTATGCGTTTCTTTTTCTTCCCTTTTATATTTCATTCTATTTTCTTTCTTTTTTTTTCTTTCTTTCTTTCTTTCTTTCTTTCTTTCTTTCTTTCTTTCATTCTTTCTTTCTTTCTGTCTCCTTATCGGTTTCTGTCTTGCTATCATGTTGTCTCTCTTCCTTTTGGTCTTTGTTTCTGTCTCTCTGCATTTCTTCTTTCTGTCTTTTTTCCGTTTCTGTCTTTCTCTCTATCTACCCTTCTTTCTCCTTTTGTCTTTATGTCCTTCCCTTTCTTTATTCCTTTCTTTCTATATGCCTTTACGACTTTCTGTCTGTCTCCTTATCAGTTTCTGTCTTTCTATCATTTTGTTTTTTCTCTCTTTCTGTCTCTCCGCACATTTGTCTTTCTACTTGTTTCTGTCTTTCCGAATTTCTCCCTTTCTATTTTCCTGTCTTTCTCTCTATGTGTTTACATATTTCTATCTTTCTCTCGTTATATTTTCCCTCTATCTGTTTCTTTCTTTCTCAATGGATGTTTCTGTTTTTCTCTCCTTTTGTCTTTCCCCATTTCTGTTTCTATCTGTTTCTGTCTTTCTTACTCTCTTTTTCTCTCTCGCATTCTCTGTCTGTATATGTTCGTCTCTCCTGTCTTCCTCTGTATCTGTCTTTCTCTCTCTCTCTCTCTCTCTGTTCCTTTCTGTCTGTATGCGTTTCTCCCTTTATAACTGCCTCACGTTCTGTGTTTCTCTCTACCATACATTCACTCAATCTCGTTAGGTAGGTTTAGGCGCTGTTTTTCTTCGTCCCTCTTGCCTTCAATCTATCCAGTGAGTATCAAATTATCCAAGTCTTCTATGCCCTAGAAATTTCAACGGTCGCTTTCTAATGCTGTTTATATTTTCAGGAAAACTTCCTCGTTACCCTCATGTTCAGTTCATGGTATTTCTAACATCCTTCTGTAGAACCACATTTCTGTTGCGTCAAGTCTCTTCTTCATCTGTGAGGAGATTGTCCAGCATTTATTGTCATATAGAAGGACTGATATTACGTAACAGTTAAGTACTCTTTTCTTTGATTCAAAAGAAATGTTACTGTTTCTTAATAGTTTGCTTATCTTTTCGAAAGTATTTTTGCTATGAGAAACGCGCCTTCGGATTTCAGCGTCGTACTTCTGTCCACTGTTAAACACAACCCAGATATTTTAATTTTGTACTTGTTTGATTTTGGTATCCCCTATTTGTAATTTGCATCTAGCACTGTTCCCTTTTGCTAATAACCAGGTATTCTTGTTTCATGCATTTTATGTTTTGCACTTTTCCATTTTACTTTTCAAATGCTCTAAATTGTTTTATTTATTTACAAACATAATTTTTCTTGACAAACGGATGATTTGGAGTGCGATCTTTTTGCCAATGTTTTTGAATCGATTCGCATAGCAGCAAATCGATAATCCCACTAAGATGCAAGGTGCTATTGGGAGTAAAAGGGAATGGAAATGCTTTAGAGGAAACCGAAAACCTAATCAGAGTACAAGGGATAAACCTCTAATCCTGTTCAAAAGACCCGGGGGATTGATAGGCGAACCTATCTAGTCCTATTGAGGAGAAGAAAAATAATTAAATAAATAGTAAATCAAATTTCAGGGTTCAGGGGTGAGACGTTCGAAATACAGAATTAAAGAGACTCCTTTAAGCAAAATAAAAATGTGCGACTGATCTACTGTTCTGGACACCTATTCACGGAGCAAGACGAGTTGGTCTTCCAACAACCACCTTTTATTCGTCAGATATGTTATAACACAAAATATCTTTCTAATAATCTTCCGACCTTGATGCAGGACCGTGTTGGTTGGCGTGATAGTCACGTGAATGTCCGAGCTAACTCGACCAAAATAAAAATAAAAATAAAAGAGTAAACCGGTAAAGCAACCCTAAACAAGAAACAAGGGATAAACGTCTACTCCTGTTCAAAAGACGAAGGAGGTGTGTGAGCCGGACAACAAGCGACCCTTTTTGTCTATGTGTTTTTTTTCTTTCGTTTATATTTCAATCTATTTTCTTTCTTTTTCTTTCCTTTCTTTCTTTCTTTGCCTTCCATTTTTTGTCTATGCGTTTCTACACGTAGGTATCACTTCATTCCAAAGAAATGTTAAAAATAAGATTGAAAGAAAACATAAAATAAATTGAATAAAAAGTGGCTAAATAAAATTAGGCAGAGACGTTAGAGGTATTGAGTTGAAGTAGGTCTTAGCAGAAACCGGAAACCCAGTACTAAACAGGAAACAGAAGACGTTGCATATGAAATAATAGAATAAAAATTATTAGGGAAAAGAAAATAAGATAAAATTAAGAACAATGAAAGTACGGAATAGATCCAGAAATAGGAATATCATCAAATATTTTATGGAAATGAGTACTTTTCGTATCTCAATTTTCATTTTGTAAAATCTATACTGAAATGTTGTTTTATATAATTCTATTTATCTGACCTCCCCACTAAGGCAGGATGTGACATATGGTCGTTTATGATGTGTGTGTGTGATGGGGGGGGTGCTCCTACGCATGCAGATGGGCCAAGGACAAAAAATGATTGTGTTATATGATACTGTATTGGAACCAGCTTAATTCGTCATCAAAAAAATAAAATAAAAATTTGAAACGAAATTCTCGAGAATCAAAGAGCGATGTGTAGTAAAAAATGAAAAAAAAAGTATTTAAGTGTGTTTATAGCCTGAAGTGGATTTGGGGACTCCGAAAGTGGAATCGTCGTACCGCGTTCAAATTCCGGCTTAGTGTATCGCTTTGACATTCACACAAATACTCTTTGGAAGAGAATGAATCCATCTCTCCTCTCGCCAGCTACGGGTTAACTATCGGAGTAGATTGGACTCTCTATCCCTGGTTGGCAGGAAGTCTAGGAATATGCCTTTGAATTTAAAGACCATGAAGACTGTAAAAAAAGAACGAAAAAACACCAAATTTTCTAGGAATTTAATAAAGAAAAGGATTTTGTAGCGAGCATTGACTCAGATGATGATTCAACTAGTATCTACTAAGAGCACGAATTGACCATTCTCTTCTATCTATCTATCTATCTATCTATCTATCTATCTATCTATCTATCTATCTTCACTGTTTTTCACTCAAATTAAGGAAGATGGTTATTGAATAGGGATCTGTAAGGTGAATATAGTGGGAGAAGAGGATGATTGTTTTGATGCTATGTATGATGGATAACGGTTCATCATCGATTTGAAGGTATTAAAAATATAGTGATCATTAAAAATATTCCCGTTATGTGTCCGTTCTAAATTGCAACAGATTTAGAGAAGAATATCTATCTATCTATCTTCAGTATTGTTCACCCAAATTAATTAAGGAAGATTGTTACTGAATGAGGATTTGTAAGGATATATATATATATATATATATATATATATATATATATATATATATATATATGGCTGCTTGTTACGAGGATATGTAGGATGGATTAGGATGGATCCTCGATTTGAAGAGGTTAAAATTCTAGTGACCATTAAAACATTCCACTCAAGTGTCCGTTCTATATTGCAACGATTTGGCTAAGAATTCCTACCTATCTATCTATCTATCTATCTATCTATCTATCTATCTATCTATCTATCTATCTGCAGATCAAGAAGCCATAGCCTAATAATGAAAAGAACAATATATTACATACCAATCTTGGTAGTTAACACAGAAATACCTTCCTTGTCGATTCATTTAATTATTAAATTTCATATATCAAATATTCTTGTGTGATCACAGATAAAAATTCGGCAAATATCTACGATGAAGTGTATTAGTTCCATACACGTAGGTATCGCTTCATTCCATTTTTTTTATCTTAGTCGGTAATGTGTGTATTTTTTGGCAATGAACACAAAGAACACCTTGCTGTTGTTCTTTATTTGATTGGAATGATGTTTCTTCTTCAGATAGCGTTTGTGCAAGTAATGTGAGCTGAATTTTAAGAGATACGTTTTACTAATGACTTAAGTGGATTGTTTTTCTGCGATATATCTATCAGGAATATAGAGTTTATAGAGGGCGTAATGGCTAAGAAACGTGCAGGTGGCGTTACCGTTATTGGCGCGGAAAGTGGAATCGGCGGCTCGAATTCAATTTCCCGTTTGTAAGTTGCCTTTAATCCCCAAAAATGTTATTTGGCAAGGAATATATCCGTCTCTTCTTCCCACAGATATGGGTTAAATGGCAACCTCAACTGCACTTTTGTGCCATGTGTGGGAACCAGTCTAGTCTTTGAATTCAAATCCGTACAAAAGGCATCGGAAAAAACTATTTCATTTATCAAGAAGTTCTGATAATAAAAAAAGGAAAATGTGGAGAGCTATTATTGCCAAAATCTTGCAAGGTTATGGTTACAAAAATATATAAATGACATTTTAGAATATTTCATCATCATCATCATCATCATCATCATCGGGAAACTTCTCTAGCGACCCAGACTGAGTTTATATCTGACATAATTTACCAGCACCCCCTCATTTTTATCTCTATCTTCTATCTGATATATTTCAACTATTTTTTTTTCAATATTTCACTCTAAGTAAGGCAATAAAGCCACTAGGACGCAAGATGTTAGTGGGCGGGAAAGAATACGAGAAAAAGATAAGATTTTTTAAAGTGTAGAGAACTATAAAAAAAGGAATTATGAAGACAGAAGATAACGATTGATATTGCATTTAAGCTTTTGAAGATTAAAGGTGACTGAAAAGCAAGAAGCCGGAATGGAATTCTGCAAGTGTGACGTGAAAGAGAAGAAACTGTTAGCATAGAACTTACGGTCACAACTAACCATTTCAACTGTAAAATGATGAGAAATATCCACCATCTATCGATTTTTATCGATTGGAAACCAAATTAGCAAAATTATACTCCATCACTTATGTTTAAGACTTACGATGTGACCAGCTCACCTATATTTTTAACTTTTCAACAAAACAGACGACAGAAAATATAACGCCGAAATCTGAAGGAGCGTTAGTATAATATGCATGTAGGTGTGCATCAAGACGTGCATATATATGTATGTCTAAATATATAAAGTTTCCTTTATATGATCCTTTATTCTTTATATGCCGTATTCCCTCAGGACGAGGTGATCATGGTTCTCCATAATTTCATGTCCTTTATACCTCTTAATAAATTTTATCTTTCTGTTATTTCTTCTAAGCCATATTCTACCATCCATTCACCCGAATGCGCTAAGTATATCTTCCTTTATTCCACTTGATCTCTGTTTGTCACGTATCTGATTTACAGATCACTCTTCTTCATGATGTTAAATACTAGTTTCCATTTTCTCCAAAATTGTCTTGTTCTCAGTTCCAGTCTATAGCTTCCTAAGCATCTTTCTGTAGAACCACATTTCTATTGCTTTCAGTCTGCTCTTTATCTTTGAGATCGTCCATATAGCTATATCGTTTATAGCATCTTTCTGAAGAACCACATTTCTATCTGTTTAAGTCTGCTCTTTATCTTAGAGATCGTCCATATAGCTATATCGTCTATAGATTCCTTAGCATCTTTCTGTAGAACCACATTTCTATTGCTTTAAGTCTGCTCTTTATCTTTGAGATCGTCCATATAGCTATATCGTCTATAGCATCTTTCTGTAGAACCACATTTCTATTGTTTTAAGTCTGCTCTTTATTTTTGAGATCGTCCATATAGCTATATCGTCTATAGCATCTTTCTGTAGAACCACATTTCTATTGTTTTTAAGTCTGCTCTTTATCTTTGAGATCGTCCATATAGCTATATCGTCTATAGCATCTTTCTGTAGAACCACATTTCTATTGTTTTAAGTCTGCTCTTTATCTTTGAGATCGTCCATATAGCTATATCGTCTATAGCATCTTTCTGTAGAACCACATTTCTATTGTTTTAAGTCTGCTCTTTATCTTTGAGATCGTCCATATAGCTATATCGTCTATAGCATCTTTCTGTAGAACCACATTTCTATTGTTTTAAGTCTGCTCTTTATCTTTGAGATCGTCCATAGAGCTATATCGTCTATAGCATCTTTCTGTAGAACCACATTTCTATTGCTTTAAGTCTGCTCTTTATCTTTGAGATCGTCCATATAGCTATATCGTCTATAGCATCTTTCTGTAGAACCACATTTCTATTGTTTTAAGTCTGCTCTTTATTTTTGAGATCGTCCATATAGCTATATCGTCTATAGCATCTTTCTTTATCTTTGAGAACCACATTTCTATTGTTTTAAGTCTGCTCTTTATCTTTGAGATCGTCCATATAGCTATATCGTCTATAGCATCTTTCTGCAGAACCACATTTCTATTGTTTTTAAGTCTGCTCTTTATCTTTGAGATCGTCCATATAGCTATATCGTCTATAGCATCTTTCTGTAGAACCACATTTCTATTGTTTTAAGTCTGCTCTTTATCTTTGAGATCGTCCATATAGCTATATCGTCTATAGCATCTTTCTGTAGAACCACATTTCTATTGTTTTAAGTCTGCTCTTTATTTTTGAGATCGTCTATGTAGCTATATCATCTATAGCTTCCTTAGCATGTCTGTAGAACCACATTTTTTTGCTTTAAGCCTGCTCTTTATGTTTGAGATCGTCCATATAGCTATATCGTCTATATGTTCCTTAGGATCTTTCTGTAGAACCACATTTCTATTACTTTAAGTCTGCTCTTTATGTTTGAGATCGTCCATATAGCTATATCGTCTATATGTTCCTTAGGATCTTTCTGTAGAACCACATTTCTATTACTTTACGTCTGCTCTTTATCTTTGAGATCGTCCATATAGCTATATCGTCTATAGGTTCCTTAGGATCTTTCTGTAGAACCACATTTCTATTGCTTTAAGTCTGCTCTTTATGTTTGAGATCGTCCATATAGCTATATCGTCTATAGGTTCCTTAGGATCTTTCTGTAGAACCACGTTTCTATTGCTTTAAGTCTGCTCTTTATCTTTGAGATCGTCCATATAGCTATATCGTCTATAGGTTCCTTAGGATCTTTCTGTAGAACCACATTTCTATTACTTTACGTCTGCTCTTTATCTTTGAGATCATCTATGTAGCTATATCGTCTATAGGTTCCTTAGGATCTTTCTGTAGAACCACATTTCTATTACTTTACGTCTGCTCTTTATCTTTGAGATCATCTATGTAGCTATATCGTCTATAGCCTCTTTCTGTAGAACCACATTTCTATTGCTTTAAATCTGCTCTTTATCTTTGAGATCGTCCAAATAGCTATATCGTCTATAGGTTCCTTAGGATCTTTCTGTAGAACCACATTTCTATTGCTTTACGTCTGCTCTTTATCTTTGAGATCATCTATGTAGCTATATCGTCTATAGGTTCCTTAAGATCTTTCTGTAGAACCACATTTCTATTGCTTTAAATCTGCTCTTTATGTTTGAGATCGTCCATATAGCTATATAATCTATAGGTTCCTTAGGATCTTTCAGTAGAACAACGTTTCTATTGCTTTAAGTCTGCTCTTCATTTTTGAGATCGTCCAAATAGCTATATCGTCTATAGGTTCCTTAGGATCTTTCTGTAGAACCACATTTCTATTGCTTTAAGTGTGCTCTTTATGTTTGAGATCGTCCATATAGCTATATCGTCTATATGTTCCTTAGGATCTTTCTGTAGAACCACATTTCTATTGCTTTAAATCTGCTCTTTATCTTTGAGATCGTCCATATAGCTATATCGTCTATAGGTTCCTTAGGATCTTTCTGTAGAACCACATTTCTATTGCTTTAAGTCCGCTCTTTATCTTTGAGATCGTCTATATAGCTATATCGTCTATAGCATCTTTCTGTAGATCCACATTTCTATTGCTTTAAGTCTGCTCTTTATCTTTGAGATCGTCCATATAGCTATATCGTCTATAGGTTCCTTAGCATCTTTCTGTAGAACCACATTTCTATTGCTTTAAGTCCGCTCTTTATCTTTGAGATCGTCTATATAGCTATATCGTCTATAGCATCTTTCTGTAGATCCACATTTCTATTGCTTTAAGTCTGCTCTTTATCTTTGAGATCGTCCATATAGCTATATCGTCTATAGGTTCCTTAGCATCTTTCTGTAGATCCACATTTCTATTGCTTCATGTCTGCTCTTTACCTTTGAGATCGTCCAGCACTCACTGCTATACAAAGAGGGCAGATATCACATCGCAGTTCAGTACTCTTTTTTTTTTCTAGCGAAATTTGTCTATTTCTTTTTACTCTATTTTGTTTTATTTCCTTGGCTATCCCAATACCCATTCGGATTTCAGTGTCACACTTTCTGTCCTTCTCTTAAAACATTTCTCAGATATTCAAATTTCCGCACTTGTTTGATTTTGGTATCTCCGATTTTCATTTCGCACTTTGGGATCACCCTCTTGCTAACAACCATGCATTATGTCTTCTTGAGACTGATGCTTAATAATTATCGCTTTCCTTTACTACCTCTCGTAGCAAATTTTATAGCTTTCTTTCTAAGTCTACCATCAGCACTGTTATCTTCATACCTGTTAAGACTGTGGCCGCCAATAATAAATCCTGCTAGGACATCTTGTTCTTTCATAACTGTCTCGCTGTTGAATAAGTCCGTTAAGAAGACATGTCCTTGTCTTACATCCCTTTCTAT